AGGCATTCCCCTCTTTGCCACCCACAGGAGTCTTCTTACAAGGCGGTGGAGGCTCTTGGGACATCTTGCCCAGGGCAGAGCCAAACTTGATGGCAATCTGGCGCATCCGTTCCAGGTCTCCATTCTCCTCAGCCTCCAGGTACTCCTTCTGTGCCTGCAGCTTCTCTACATCAGGAAAGAAGTCCCTCTGGATGACTGTCTGGAGGCCCTGATAGAAAAAATCGGGACAAAAGTCAGAGCTGCCATCTGGGGTATCCTGCCTTTCAGTCCACCAATACACATGCTAAGGCCATTGCTGAACCCCACCCCCCAACCTCTATCCAGCCCAGTGATCCCCAGAGTTTAGGGGCATTTTCTAAGGAGGATAATATCCTAAAAGGCCTTGCTGCAAAATCTAACATTACTAAACAGTCTGATTTCCATGAAGCCTTTCCCTCTCCCCTCACTAACTGGTCATTTTCATTCTTTACTAGCCCCACCTCCACACCGGCTGGACCAATGTGGGTGTTGCCACTTTCATGCCATTCATGACCGCCTATTTCCAATTTGAACTCTTTACCTGGATGACTCCAGCCATTCATTCCCAGTACTAACTCTGAGATTGCCAACTCTGCACTTCCAGCCAGACCTGGCTCCCGAGTTGCACATCTGGTCACCCAGAGGTCCACTAATACCACCTGCCTGTATATCCCAGAGACCTCCCAAACATAACCAGTCCAAAACCAAACCGACTTCCTCCAATCTCTGTACCAGTTCCTCCTCCAGTGTGTTTGCGGCAGGATTAAAACCTACTTCAAAGGTCGTCGGAGACCCACTCGCTGAATGATGCTGCCACAATCGCAACCTGTTTCCAAGTCCCCGAGACTTTGCACTTGCTAGCACCGCTCTCTAGAAAGTTCTCTTTGCCGCCATCCTTCCAAACTCTTACGCTTTAACAGAAAAGCTTGTTTCCCTGATCCCTCACCACATATAAACAAAACCAGCCCCTAGCTGCCGTGGCAACACTGCTAGTGCCTCTCCCACCAAGAACACCCACTTCTGCATTATGCTTATTTGACTCACCACACCCTAAGGTTAGACTCGGGTCGTTCCACCTCTGAGAGGGGATGAGACTGCCACGGCCTGAGAGGAGGGACCCAAGAGGAGCGCGAGGCGAGGTAAGGACCTAAAAGTCGCTGGCGTCCGCACCAAGGTCTTACCTCGATGTACTCTTCCTCGTCCAAGACTCTTTGCTTGCCTATCGCAGCCCCAACCTCCTCTGTCGTGCGTTTCCTCCGGGGCCCCGACGCGGTGGGAACCAACAGGGCCCGTGGCGACGCACCGGGAGTCTCCATTGCTATCCCAGGACCGTTCGGGAAGCGCATCACAGCGTCATAGGGGCGGGACTGCGCCAACTGCGCAGGCGCTTCCAACAGTCGGCCAATGGGGGAGCTGCGCGCTTCGAAGGCGGGCCCGCGCTCCGCCCTGACGTCACAACAAGCCCTCTCCCTTATGGGAGTTTTCTTCCCGCCCCTCGCTGGTGATGTGTATCTGGGCCGTGGGCACCAGGGGGCGCTGTGGTGGTGGGGCTAAGGGGCGTGTCATTCAGGCTAATTGTGAAAAATTTCTGCACTGAGGAACTGGAAAGCCTTGGAATTCCAATTACTCGTAAATAATCACTGTGTATGCTTCTATATTATTAACAAAAAACACACTCCAGAAAATTTGGTTATATACGCGTCTCAAAGCTTTTATTCAAACTTTATGCAGAAAAAGACATTTCTTTTCTGATAGTTATTTTACAAAAGAAAAAGGAAAAGAAAGAAAAATATGATGGCTCAATAAAGAAATATCTGGTTAAAAATTATCAGGTCCCTTAATGCCAGAGTGAACTTCCCAGAAGAGGGCTAATTCTCATTGAAGCGGATGAGAAAATTGCCTAAGCATATTTTAGGACCGATCATTTCTTTCCAAAATGAGGTTATGAATTATGTCAAACAATTAAGTTCTGCCCCCAGAATGATTTAGAACACCATAGTGATGGTTCCTACTCTCCGAGAGCTGACAGTCCAATTTATGTTGTCCCACAAACAAGATGAGAGCTGCAGGTGGCAGGTGCAAGAAAAGAATTTGTACTTGAGGAATCTTATCTAGGGGCAGAAGGGAAAGTTCCTGAGGCAGGATGTGATTGTAGATCCAAAAGATGAACAGGCATTGATCAGGGAGAGAGGGAAAAGCATGGGCAAAGGCTCAAGAGCAGGAAGAAGACTTTTGGATACACATGGCGTATAAGGAGCAGTGAAGTGTAAGATGATGCCAGAGCAGCAGGCCAGGCTGTACATGCCCTTGTGAATCATGGTGAGTTTTGTCTTTTCTATAGGAGCAATGGGAATCCTTGGAGTGCTGTAAGCAGGGGAGAGGGAGGTTCAGACTTGCACTGTGGCTTTTATGGAGAATGAATTAAAGAAGAACCAGAGTAGGTACAAGTGGACAAGACTTAAGGTGGCTGCAATGGTCAAGGTCAGAAATGACAGAGGTTTTCATCAGGTTGGTGCAATTAGAGCTGGGGATTGCTTTGGGAGATGAAATTGACTTGGTGTTGGCCAGGGTCTGGTGGGTGAGGGAGAGGAGGGGGCAGGATAATTGCCTGTCCTCTGGCTTGTGCATCTGGTATCTACAAGGGAACAGGTTGCCTTCCCAGGACAAAGTGATTTAGAGGGGCCATGGGCTTACAAGTGGAGCAGTGAAAGGGACAGTTAGACATAAGCATCTAGCTCAGGAGAGAGGCCTGGGCTGGAGACATAAGCATAGCAGAGAGAATGGGAATTGGAGCCAGAGGATGGAAGAGATAAACCAAGGTGAGTATGGAGATGCAAGGGAAGTGCCTGGGACTTGACCTCAAGGACATTTATGTTAACGGCCAGCTATGGGGGTGAGCCTGCCTAAGAGCATCTAGAAAGGAGAAAACTCAGGAAGGCAACATAGCCATTGGTCCCATGCAGGTGGAGCTCTGATTCCAACTGCCCCACATAATGACAAATAGCCACTCAGTCAAGGAGGGTGTAGGTCCTGAAACCCAGAGATGCGAGTGTCCCAACTCTGCAGGAAGGCTGTGCAGTGGCCAAGGATGAGACCAGGATTCAGGGAGAGCTTTGAGACAGCCAGAAACGTGAAGTGAGGCAACAGCTGCTATCCTGGAGGAACCTGAGTGTTAGGGCAGCCCTGGCTGGGGACGCCATACCTGCTTGGTGTTATCTGAGCTGGCCAGCCTTGGACAGTCCCAGGAGCTAAAGCCTTGACTTCTGTACTTTTTATGCATGGACTGTGTCTGACGGGTCCCCACCCCCACTTGCTCCAGGATCTGTGAGGGGCAGAACAAGGTCCTCAAGCTAGATAAGGGGGGTGTCAGGTTCCTTGGGCTCATGGTTCAGGTCTACTTGGGGAAATGAAGTCATGTTTTCACACTATCCTTCACCGCGGGGCCAGGATGATGGAGGGGATAGCAGACATTTTCCAAGGCAGCGTTGGGGGTTCTCCTCAACTGAGTTTCTTCTCGCCCCACAGGGTGGCAGAGATTGACTGTTGTGAGGGAGGCAGACACCACAGCATGGAAATCTCCACCAGGGAGGAAGCCGTGGACCCCCACCCGTAAAGCAGCACTAGAGGCCTGATGTGTGTGTGTGTGTGTGTGTGTGTGTGTGTGCACGCGCGCGCACGCCAGGGTACCAGGCCACTATCCATGGGGCAGTCTGCTCTGCTGGTAGGTGCCCTGGCACAGGGACTGAGTACTCACTGGGTTGTGCTCTCCAAGCCAAGCCAGCCCCCTGCTCCCTGGAAAGGAGATCAGAGGGACAGGTCCCAGTTGGGTGTGGGAGTGGAGCCAGGGCAGACTTCTGACTTGACTGCTTTTGTGGTATTTATAGTTGCTCGTTTATTTTTCCATGTCTGAGCAAGGCTCACAGGATTAAGGAGCAGGGCCTGGGGCAGCGGGGCAGAGGTGTGTGTGTGGGGGGAGATTCTGGAGAGACCTCACCCAACTTACTTATTCTACAGGTCTGGACATAGAACCCAGTGCAGGACCTGGGAGCTGGCAGCAACCCCAGGATGCACAGAGGATTGTAAGCGACGTTGGGGAGGGGGCATGTCCAGGCTGAGGAGAGGAGGGAGGCCAGCTTGCGGGGTAAAGGTGGGCAGGGAAGAGGGATTCTAGGTCCCCAGTGTTGACAAGGAGTGGTTCCTGTCCTGGGCCAAGGTTAGTGCCTAGGAGCAGGGGTGAGGATGGGGACCTGCTCTGTGCATCACCCCCTCCCCCCTGGAGAATCTCCACGGTCCTCCTGCCCGATCCTCCTGCCCGATCCTCCTGCCCGGTAGCACTCTCCATTAGGGAGGAGAGTGCACCTTCTACTAGGTGTTCTCTCCTTTCACCCGGCAGATGGTTCAGGGACGCACATGCTCCTGCAGAGGGGATCCTGCGTGGAGCCTTAGCTCCAGCACGCAGGAAGCTGTGCAGATGGGAAGAGGCAGGTGTCCTCCCTCAGCTCCTTTCCAGGTAGGACTTTTGACTCTTTGATTCGGCCCCAATGGACGAGGCCAAGCCCAGGAGTAGCTCACAGACATCAGCAGCTTTCCTTGGGAGTCTTCTTGGCTCCTGGCAGGAGCCTCGCAGACGCTGATGCGCGCTTCTGGTGTCGCCACTTGGCCCTGCGATTCTTGAACCAGACCTGAGGAGAAGAAGGGACTGCTCAGGCAGGACCCGCATCCCACCAGGCTCCCATAGGTGGACCTAGAGGTGGGAGGGGGGTCCCGACGGGCGTGTGGGCTGACGAGAGCTGCTCTTATCTGCTGCAGATAGAGAGGATGGCTCTGGCCGCGGCGGGAACCCCTTCCCACCCCCCACTTCTACCCCGCGGCGACCAGGGACACCCCTTCCTAAATTCTACAACATGAACGTAAGCTTCATTTACCATCAGGAAAAAAATAGTTTAAAACAAATGGGAAAAAAAAAACCAGCCTTCCCTTCCCTCCAGTTCCAGTGATACTTTCCCGTACTTACCTGTACCCGCCTGCCCCTCGCCCCGGAACCGGCTCTGCGCCCATAGCAGTCCCGTGGCCTCTCACGCCTCCCACTCCCCGCCGCCGCGCGGGCACCTGGCGCCAGCGCTGTCTTTTCCAAAGAAGGAAGAAGGAAGCCAGCCGGCCCAAACCTTCTCAGACCCTCCGGCCGTCCAGCGGGCGGGGCCCTACCTCGACGCGCTCCTCGCGCAGGCGGATGCGGCCGGCTAGGCGCTCGCGTGTGCCCACGTCGGGGTACTGGTTCTGCACGAAGAGCGCTTCCAGCGCCTGCAGCTGCTCTTCGCTGAAGATGGTGCGGTGACGCCGCGTGCGGCGCTGCGGGCCCGGGCCGCCGGCGCCAGGCAGCACCTCGGAGCCTCCAGGTGGCGCGGCCAAGGGCAAGGGCGCCGAGGGCCCCAGCCTCA